TCATGGTTAAATCCTGTAATCAATAACTTTTTACTTTTGTACATGCATGTCTATGTGTTGTTGTTGTTGTTGTTGAATACAACACATTTGACAGCCTAGAGCATATATAGATGTGATTTAAAGGAAGGTGTGTACAGATGACCTGAATTAATTAATTATTTGTTTTTTTATTTAGTTCATCAATAATTCACTAATTAATTAATTAATTCTTACTCACTTTTGTTAGCAAGAAAGAAAGAAAAAACAATCTGAAATTTAAAATAAAATGCATGTTTATAAGATTGTTAAAAAATTTTAAATTTTAAATCATAGCAACATGCTTAAAATAGTTCAGATGTAAACATCCATAAAAGTAAGTATCTGCATGGTCCTTAGACTTTAGACCGGTGTCGAGAAAAGTTGGTCACGTGCCTAATGTGAGAATCTGATATTCTCAAGTATTGGAACGAGTCTCAGTGGCTTAGTGGTCTACGAGCTCGCTAGCCTTGTAATCAGAGGGTCCTGGGTTCAAACCCCAGTGAGGTGGGTGCGTACTGCTTAAGAGTCCTAAAACTAGGACGAAACAGCTGCCCAGTACTCCCAGGTTTTTATGAGTTGATCACGGATTGATATCAGCCACAAGGAGTACTGGACAGCCTAGTTTGGGAATCATCGACAGTACGCAACTATTAGAGGTGGTTCGAACCCAGGACCTACCGGTTACAAGACAAGCTTAATCACGAATTGGTAGAAGTTAGAATTCATGAGCCATTGAATCGGGTCTCGGTAGCTGAGTGGTATACGAGCTTGTCTAGTAACCGGAAGGGACTGGGTTCGAACCCCGGTGCAGTGGTTGCGTGCTGACGATGATTCCCAAACTAGGCTGATGAAACAGTTGGCTGTCCAGTACTCCGTGTGTTCCTGGTTTTCAATGGTTCTCTAACCGATATCAATCCGTGATCAGGAGGAAGATACACCATTATTTACCGTCAAGTGAAGTCAAGTTCTGGGTCTTGTTTTTTTGGAAAAGTGTGTTAATAATATAGGAGTGACTCACCAGAGAGTTGGTGCGTTAGTTATTTAATTGTTTTTTTAGATTTAATTTCGAGGTTTTTTTGTCAACCACATAATTTGTGTTCTGAGTGCGTTTTCATTTTTATTTATTTATTTGCAATTGATATTATTCTCTTAGCTGCGTCTCCTGGTAACCATCTTTACATATGTATTGATCGCTTTCTATTGGCTTGGATTCTAAACTTTCTGGTCACCTGATTTACTTTTTATTAGTTGGTATATTTCGTCTATATTAACATGTTTGTTAATTGCATAATCGTTTGAGTATCAGGCTTGTAGGAATTCCCTGACTGCACTTTTGGTTGTTTCCTCTGTCTAAAATTTCGACATTATCACAGTTATCAAACTGATGTCCATAATTATCTGTATGCATTGATATGAAACAGGAATATATATCATGTCTATTCACGGCTGGTTTGTATTCCTGGATTCTAACTCAAAGGAGATGCCCACTTTGGCCGATGTAATGCTTGTTACAGTTCACACATGGAATTTATTTTGTAAATGATTTTAATTTTATCTTCATTTTCTGTCGGATGTGCCTTTCGGTTTGCACAATATCGAATTAAGCGATTTGACTGGCTGGCTTGTGTGCTATATCTATATCAAACGCTTCCAATATTCTAGCTGTTATTTCAGAGATATTTTCGCTCATATATGGTAGGGTGAATTTTCTTGTGTTCTTTGATAATGACGGTTCCTTGTTGGTGTTTTGATTCAACTTTAAACACTTTTTGATGAAATTTTGTGGATAACAATTTTTTTTGAAGACCGTTAGTAGGTCATTTTTCTTCCATTCTTTTCAACGCTGGCGTAGTGCTACAGTGTGTTTGAACTCTCTTTTAAACAATGTTTGCTCACAGTTTCTTTTGTGAGTGAGTAAATGGATTATTGCTAGTATAGTTGAGTATTTGATCTGTGTGCGATCATTTTCTGTATACCTGTATTTCTAAATCTCCCGTGTTGGTTCTCCTGATTAAGACATCTAAAAATGGGATTTTGTTGTGGTCTAATTCTTCTTCTCTCGTGGTGAATTTGAGGTCTTCAAATATGTTGTTTATTAATTGGTGGGTATATTCTAAATCACATTTCTCTTAAATATTACAAATGTATCATCAACGTAACGTACCTGTCCAGATTTTCGGTTTAATTATAGGTAGAGCTATTAATTCTAATCTTTGCATAACGGCTTCAGCTAGTTATCCTGATGTGGGCGATGGTCCCATTGGTGTTCCTTCAATTTGTTGATATCTTTGAGTATTGCATTGGAAGTATGTTGTAAGGCATAATTCTATGAGTTCTATCCAAGTTGAACATCACTGCGTTTTTATGTATGTAAAGATGGTTACCAGGAGACACAACTATATCACTCATGAAGAAATTTAAATCATTTCACTTTACGCTAAATATTGCGCTGAAGAGGGATGTCGTCCAGCAGGGAAGGGAGGGTGACGACGAAAGCTCCGAAACTAAACCATCAACCAGCTCAGAGAACACTATTAATTGCAAATCATCCACCTGAGCTACAAATCTTCTCTATTATTTATTCTTTTATTTAGGTAGCTAAATAAGAAATGAAAGAGCCTAAAATTATGTTATTAACAACAAAGCAAGTCATAGGTTTCACGCTTATCATTGTCTCAGTCACTTAGAACACGGGCCAAGTATGGTATCGTTGAGTTCCTGTACTTGGTTGTACGAGCATAGATTATTTTATACTGATTTCTGGTTCTACCTGATGAGATACAAGGCGAGACATGGGAATAGGGGGGGTGTTGGGGGTCGGAGAGTATGGTTTTAGACCATTTTTCTCATGTTTTTAGATGCCTTTCAACTAATGCAGTGACTAGCTGACTGATGTTTACACTACTAGTCCTACTGACTACCTTCAACATCCTTCTCAGGATAGCATAGTCCTTTTTCAGTCGACCAGGAAAGACTAACGGGGAGCATTAACGTAGAATAGGTAAGATACAATAGTTGAGAAATTGTGAAAGTAGAGGTTGGGTGATTCCAGATTGTCTAAGTTTCTTAATGCAGTAGTAGGTTAGACAGAACACTTCCTTAGAAATCGTTAGGATATGAGATGTCCAATTAAGGTCGGAAGATAGAACTAGACCGAGGTATTTTGCATTAGACTTAGTTTCAGTTTTAGTCTCCTCAATGCAACAGGCTTCATGAGTACTTACTATTGTTTGTAGATCTCGTTTATGCCTAAGGGAGAAGTCAATAGTCTGGCATTTTGAGGGATTCAACATGGGACCATTTAAGTTAGACCACTGACTGATGTTCAACGGGAAGCTTTTTTAATTTGAAACAGTCTGACTGAGACTTTACAGGAAGCGAAACAGTCAGGTCATCTGCATATTTGACGAAGTTGATTTCAATAAAGAAAGAGGTAAGTCATGTAAGAAGAAGGAAAAGAGAAACGGAGAGGGAGAACAGCACTTCGGTTGGTCGGTTTTCGACATAGAACTTTGCACATATGTGTGGCAGTTCAAGTCGCCACACACCATGTAGCACACAAACCAAGAGAAGAAAGTAGAAGAAATGCACAATAGAAAGACAGTAAACAGAGGTGTGAGACGAAGGTATAGTAATAACGGAGAACAAAACAGTTTAATTGGAAATCATAAGTCACAAGGAGTGGATGCATCTGCGCCACTGAGAACGATTTTGAGCCATGTCACCAATTGTTTCCAACCATTGGTTTTTGCCATCCCGAGGACCCCAACCAGGAAGTCTACACCTTCCTACATGGCTGGCTGGCTTAAACTAACTGTTGTGGATTTCATTGACTGGTGCCATGTTTTCGTTTGACCGCCGCTAGCTTTCGACCGATGCCTAACCTCAATATTGCTCACATTATTATACCACTTCACGCGGGATATAGAACGCAGACACCTATGATCGAAAACAGATAATCTTTTCATGTCTTCTGCTCTCAATGGCCATGTCTCACAGCCATAAAGGAGGACGGTGCGGACTGTTGAGCAGTACACACGCCCTTTGGTCGATAAACGGATGTCACTTCTACGCCAGAGACGGCGTAAACTGGCATATGCAAACCTAGCCCTCTGTATTCGTGCTGAAATTTCGTCGGAGATCAACCTGTTGGCACTGGCTGATGGTACTTCCCAAATAAGTGAAGTGGTCAACGTGCTCCACCAACCACTTCACTTCCTATTTCTAATCTAAGGGGCCGGTGAAGTCCAATCCTGCAGCATCATCTTACATTTTACGGGGGCGAACCGCATGCCAAACATACGAAGATTGTTGCTCAAGGTGTTCAGTAGACTCTGCTGGATTTTGTCAGCGTCCTCGCCTAGAAGGACTATATCGTCCGCATATTCTAAGTCGACGAGATTACTCCCTGGTAGCAAGTCAATCCCTGAGTCGCTAAAGTGCTCTAGGGTTAAGTCCATTAATACATCTACGATGAAGTTGAATAGGAATGGGGATAATAGGCATCCTTGACGGACGCCACTTTTCGTCACCACTTCAGATGACAACTTGCCATAGGCCCTCACCTGGCTGCATGAGTACGAGTAGAGTGCCTTAATCAGTGCAAAGTATTTTCTCGTCATTCCCTTCACAGCTAAGCACCGCCAGAGAACCTCTCGGTCGACAGAATCGAATGCCGACTTTAGGTCAAGAATTATAGTGATTGTCGGACGCCGGAACTCCAGCTTCAGTAAGCAAAGGAGAGGAAGATACCCCAATTAAATACCGTCAAGTGAGGTCAAGTTCTGAGTCCTGTTTTTTTGGAAAGGTGTGTTACAATATATAGGAGTGACTGATCACGGAGTTAGTGCGTTAGTTACTTAGTTAGTTGGTTCTTTCAATTAAATTTCGCCTTTTTGTTTGACAATCACATAATTTCTGTTCTGAGTGCGTTTTCATTTTTATTTATGGATTTATTTATTTTTGTTTTCTACAATTTACAGGATTTCGTCTACTTTGGTAACAAATAAGACACGCCTTCCTCTTCTTCTTCTTCTACGCTGTTCGGTGTTTTTGTTGCTATTTGTTTACTCAAAATGTATTTATTTCATTTTGTAAGTTCATGTTTTTTTCAAATCATTTTTGTTTTTGTGGATTATAATTTCCTTATTTCTTTTTCTTATTCTTATTGTTATTGACTGGTTGTTGAAAAAAACAAAAACAAACTAAACACAAAAGTGTGATCACTATTCAGGAGGTGTTTGCTCTTTTCTTTCTTTTCTTTTCTTTTCTTTTCTCTTTATGTTATGTATTGTGATTGTTACTGAACTGATACACTGCTAAACACATGCATCACATGCCTACTGCTGTACTGCACCTGCATGTGCCTGCATACAAAACAGGGATGGATGTAAAATATTGTGTATTTGTTGTGCTAACATGCTAAAACTTTCAAACTGAATCGACAATACTGTTTGAAACAAACTCACTATTATTATTATTACTATTATTATATAATAATCTCAATTCGTGCTTCGAATATTTTTGACTTTATGTCGTAAATGTGGACAAATTCCTCTGGTTAATTTTGTTTTAATTTTTAATTTTGTTCATATTTTGTGTAAATCAGATGTAAGGTGTTGTGACAAATGCTGAGAATTCCATTCTGTATTATAAGTAGTGCTGTTTCTGGAATAAAGTAGATCATTATTATTGTTATTATTATTATTACGTCAATAAAATGACCATGGAAACAAATTGAAATCAAAATTTTCAACTTAAAATATGAGTTACGAGGTGTGTGTGTGAATATAGATTATAAGAGGCATGGAAACAAAAGAAATTACACCGGATTAGAAATATAACTGTAAAATAGTTAGTATAAACGGATTACAAGCGTGATCAAGAGGAGCATGGAAACAAACTTAAGATAACGGATTTCATACCTGAAAGATGGGGGTAAATTATTGAATGAAGACAAAGAGAGAAAATTACGCACACAGAGAACACATAGCCTCGGCTTTTCGATGCATATATGGCGAGAGCTTCTGCGGTACAAAGAAGTCGGAAACACACTGACTGCCTTTGGTAGATTTTTGTTTACTTTGTAAATGACTCTGAATGATGAGTCAGTTGACATTCTGTGACAGGTATTGATTGACGGGATGTTCAGTTATGGCGCTTCTGATTGAACCAGTGCCTCCTCTTTGCACAGCCATGCTGGATGATGTTCTTGAGCACGTTTTGATAAGACCCGCATAGAATGACCTGTGTACCACCTAGCTCCGAAAGAGCAGTTGAACTGATATATGCATATGCGGAAGGAAGTCTGTCCTTCCTGTTGCTCTGAAGTAGTGGGCGGCTAGAGAATGTCACACTTAGAGTTTTGTTCACACCTGTAATTCGTTCTAGCCCTGCGTTACTTTTGTTTCTAAGACTCTTGTAATTCATATCAAGCTGCAAAAATAATTATCACTTTTTATTCGCCTTTCAAAAAATTATTTCTGCAGTTATCAAATATTAATTTTGCATACGTTGTAACTGTTTTCTAATCCTATGGAATCTTGTCTCTAAGCCCCTTGTAATCTCCCATATTCGTACCTTCAAACTTTCCTATCAAGTTGGAAAATAATTATCACCTTCGTTACTATGTGGAATTAATTAAACAAATAATAGTTGTATCCATGTAAACTAATCTTATATATAAATGCGATTGTACAGCTGCTTTTGAGAATGAAATCGTCAATGCATCTCGGTTAGGGTAACTATTTTCGGCGAGCATGGGTTTTAGGTAGTCAAGTTCTGAGTCCTGGTTTTTTTGGAAAGGTGTGTTACAATATATAGGAGTGACTGACCACAGAGTTAGTGCGTTAGTTACTTAGTTAGTTAGTTAGTTGGTTCTTTTAATTAAATTTCGCCTTTTTGTTTGACAACCACATAATTTCTGTTCTGAGTGCGTTTTCATTTTTACTTATGAATTTATTTATTTTCTATAGTTTGGTTTGCAAGGGTTAGTTATGTTTTTACGAGTTGATCACGCACGGATTGATATCAGTTAGAGAACCATTGAAAACCACAGACACAGGGAGTACTGGACAGCCAGCTGTTTCGTCAGCCTAGTTTGGGAATCATCGGTAGTTCGGACTCACCACAGGCGGTTCGAACCCAGGATTTTCTGGTTACAAAGCCAGCAAGCTAGCTGGCTCGTATACCATTCAGCCACTCACTGGGACCCGACTTGACTCAACATCCAGCCAGTGCATGGATTCTAACTTCTACAAATTCGTGATGCATTTAGCGCTACTGGCACCAACCAGTGTCGTTGGTGGGACATCCATCCACACACTTGACATCTAATTGGACCTCACTCGTCACGACTTCTCACTAGAACTGACTCCAGGAAACTCCATCCTGTAGGTAGTGGTCACTAGCGAGCATCAGATTAATTTTCTATAGTTTTAGTTTGTAAGGGTTAGTTGTTTTTACGAGTTGATCATGGATTGATATCAGTTAGAGAAGCATTGAAAACCAGCCACAGGGAGTACTGGACAGCCAGCTGTTTCATCAGCCTAGTCTGGGAATCATCGGCAGTACGCACCCACTGCACCGGGATTCGAACCCAGGACCTTCCGAGTTAGTGCGTTAGTTAGTTAGTTTGTTCTTTTAATTTAATTTCGCCTTTTTGTTTGACAATCACATAATTTCTGTTCTGAGTGCGTTTTCATTTTTATTTATTTATTTTTGTTTTCTACAATTTACAGGATTTCGTTTACTTTGGAAACAAATAAGACACGCCTTCTTCTTCTTCTTCTACGCTGTTCGGTGTTTTTGTTGCTATTTGTTTACTCAAAATGTATTTATTTTGATTTTGTAAGTTCATGTTTTTTTTAAAATCATTTTTTGTGGATTATAATTTCCTTATTTCTTTTTCATATTCTTATTGTTATTGACTGGTTGTTGAAAAAAACAAAAACAAACTAAACACAAAAGTGTGATCACTATTCAGGAGGTGTTTGCTCTTTTCTCTTCTTTTCTCTTTATGTTATGTATTGTGATTGTTACTGAATTAATACACTGCTAAACACATGCATCACATGCTTACTGCTGTACTGCACCTGCATGTGCCTGCATGCAAAACAGGGATGAATGTAAAATATTGTGTATTTGTTGTGCTAAGAAAAATTTTTTTAGTTTAATTAATTTTGTTTGTTCCGCGTCTTGTTTCTATGCTGTTGTTGTTTTTTTCAACTTTATTTTCCACATTATGTTAAACTACGAGTAATTTATCCATTTATCAGGCTGTCTGTTCTGAGACAGAGATTGGCGGCGGCAGGAAGCGAGGGCCGGAAGGGCGACGAGGGAGGATAGATGCATTTTTATGTATTTTTCTTTTCAATGCTTTACTCCTTGAAACTAATTTTTTCTTTTTCAAATAGTTAGTTTCAATACTTCGCCTTCTTCTGCTTATTCTGCTGCTGCTTTTGTACTTTCCTTTGTGATAAAAAAGGCGAATTCGATTCAAACTTTTGAATAAATCTCAGTAATGATTAGTGTTGCTGTGTTGATGTTGGTGTTTATTGTTGTTGCGTTGTTGTCTTTTTGTATGCCTGTGTATAACTATGGCGCGTTGATTTTTTCAGGTGTAAAATGGGTGCATAGTGTGTCCGTGGTCCAGTCTTGGCGAATACTTGCAAACCACGCCAGTTGTAAACATTTTGATGAATAAGGAGGAAGGGTAAGAGAGTGGTGCTAGCTAACTAACTAACTAACTAGCGCTTTAAAATAAAGACCATAGCTAGTGAAACTAAAGAACTCAAATTAAATATATGTGTTAAACTTAAGCATTCTGATGGTGGTAGCAAGTAATTCCTTATTAGTTGGTATATTAGATGTATCACACAGTCAGTCAGTGAAACAGTCTTAGTATTAACTGGACGACAAAGTTGTTTCGAACTCAATTCATTATTGTGGTTCATAATCATATCAATTATAATCACACGACTTTGAAACTTGAGTTTTATAGTTTTCTTTCTACTCTCCTATTTCTCGTCATTCAGGTGGTAGAATTTTCCAGATGTCTGGTTAAATAGGTGTTGAATGACTCCCGTCACACGTTTTCTCTCTCAGTTGATTCGATAAACAAAGCTTCCATTGTTATCAATCTCTCCTTCCCTCCACCCTGTGACATTAGATTTTAAAACTGTCATCCTATCCCATCCAGCCTTTTGTATGGCTCTGTGTAATCGGGTGTCATGTGGTGCTATAGCTGAACTATTCTCTAGATTTCTTATCTTATTCGGTCAGCCAATCAAGATTTTGATGCTAGGTGTTCATGTTCGGCTAGTCTGACTCACTGATCTTGTTCTTCTAATTTGACCTATGTATTTGACCTGACAATCATTGCAGACAGATGATTAGATGAACTAAATTGTTTTGTTTCAAGGGCTCCACAGGATTGATCCTTAGACTGACAAAGCTTGTTTCTATTTGAATTTGTGGGAAAGGTTTGAATTCCAGCCACTTTCATTCCTGCCTGCGTTGTTAAGAATTCTGCGTCAGGTGGTTTCCCTTGTTCCTTCCTTGTATGGAATTACTACTGATGATATAGATTCTTTATTTATGGTGTTGGTGGAAGGGGCCTCGAAAATCACGTTACGCAGATTTCTTAACAGTGCCGGCAGGAATAAAAGTGGCTGGCATTCAAACCAGTCACAAACTCAATTAGAAACAAGCTTTGCCCATTTATCAGTCTGTGTGTTCTGAGACAAAGATTGGCGGCGGCAGGAAGCGACGCAAGAAGGGAGCGGCGAGAGGGCGACGAGGGAGGATAGATGCATTTTTATGTTGTTTATTTTTCAATGCTTTACTCCTTGAACCTAATTTTTGTTTCTTTTTCAAATTGTCAGTTTGACCGCGAACAGATGCTTCAGGTTAGTATACGTGTACACAATCACACACACACATATCTCTACTTACACCTCGGAATGTACTAAATTCAGGAGAACAGCCAGACACCATTGCTTCTTTTTCTCTGTGGATAATTTTCAATACTTCGCCTAATTTTGCTTATTCTGATGATGCTTTTGTACTTTCCTTTGTGATAAAAAAAGGCAAATTCGATTCAAACTTTTGAATAAATCTCAGTAATGATTACTGTTGCTGTGTTGTTGTTGGTGTTTATTGTTGCGTTGTTGTCTTTTTGTATGCCTGTGTATAACTATGGCGTGTTGATTTCTTCAGGTGTAAAAAGGTGCATAGTGTGTCGCTGATCTGGTCGTGGAATGCTTGTCAACCAGGCCAGTTGTAAAAATTTTGATGAAGAAGGAGGAAGGGTAGAAGAGTGGTGCTAGCTAGCTAA